CAAGACTGCCTTTCTCCATGGTGATTTGGAGGAAGAGATCTATATAGAGCAACCAGAAGGACTTGAAGTCAGGCCCCGTTTGGGGGCTTACTTTTTTAGCCAATTAGTCAAAAAGTTACTAAATTAGCCAAAAAGCCAACAACTCATACCAAAAAGTCGAAGATTCTCTTTTCTCTCTACTTTTTGCACATCTTTTCGTAATTAGCCAAAAAGTCATCCCAAACATACAAGTTTTTTTTACCTACCTTTTTAGCCAAATAGCCAAAAAGGTACTAAATTAGCATGTTCCCAAACGAGGCCTAAGGGAAACATAATCTAGTCTCCAAACTGAAGAAGAGTTTCTACGGCTTGAAGTAGGCACTGAGACAATGGTACAAGAAGTTTGATTCATTCATGGTGGATCACAAGTACACAAGAACGGTAGCAGACCAGTGTGTATATTTCTGAAGATTTTAGATGGAAAATTTATCATCCTACTGTTGTATGTCGATGATATGCTGATTATCAGACATAATATTGCTATGATCAACAAGTTGAAAAAGGATTTGTCGCAATATTTTGACATAAAGAATTTAAGCCCAACACAGCAGATTTTGAGCATGAAGATTGTTTGTGACAGGAAAGCCAAGAAGATATGGCTTTCATAGGAGAAATATGTTGAATGGGTGATTAAAAGGTTTAACATGAAAGATGCCAAGCCAGTCAGCACACCACTGGCCAACCATTTCAAGGTGACAAAGCATTCATGTCCCACAACCAGCTTTGAAAGGAAAGAAATGGAGGCAATCCCTTATTCTTCCGTAGTAAGAAGTTTGATGTATGCAATCGTGTGTACTCGACCAAATATAGCTCACGCAGTTGGCGTTGTGAGTAGATTCCTCGCCAATCTAGGAAAGGAGCATTGAGAGGCAGTCAAATGGATTCTTCAGTATTTGAAGGGAACTTCAAAGATGTGTCTATGTTTGGGGGAGCCAAACCAATTTTGGAGGGTTTTACAGATGCTGATATGGCGGGTGATCTTGATGGTAGAAAGTCTACATTAGGATTTTTGTTCACTTTTGTAAGGAGAGCTGTTTCATGGTAGTCCAAACTACAAAAGTGTGTTGCTTTATCTACAACAGAGACAAAGTACATTGCTGCCGTAGATGCTGAAAAGGAAATGTTGTGGTTAGAGCGGTTTCTCTGATAATTGGGTCTACAGCAGGAAGAGTACAAGGTACATTGTGATAGTCAGAGTGCAATTAATCTGAGCAAGAATTCCATGTACCATTCACGTACAAAGCACATTGATGTCCGGTATCATTGGATACGAGAAGTGATGGAAAAACAACTGATGAAGCTAGTGAAGATTCACATGGACAAGAATCCTTCTTACATGATGACCAAGATTGTCAACAGAGACAAACTGGAAGTTTGCAAGAATCTGACCGGGATGGACTTCAAGTAAGAAGTCAGTCATCCACATGGGCATGGAGGGGGAGAATTGTTGACTCCAGCCCACATGGAAGAGTAATTGGAAGTTGGCTCTCCAGGTCAAGAAAATAGGAGGGAAGAGGGAAGAAGCCTGTTAGTAGTTGGCAGCCCAATAACTTTTTTTTTAACCTTGTATTCCCTCAGTTGTGTATAAATTGAGGTGAGGAGGAGGGTCTAAGTACAAGGAAAAACATAGAGTGTGTTTGAGTGAGAGTGCTATAGAGAGAGAGTGAGGTGTGAGTTTTGTACCTCCCTCTGAGAAATTCTATTCTATAGTGGATATCTCTCTTGTGGATGTAGACAATTGCTGAACCATGTAAATCTCTTTTGTTATTGTGTATGATTGATTTCTGGTGTGCATTAATCCTAACATAATCGACATAACTAATTCACTTGCATATCCGATCTATTATGTATACATTTAACTGTAGAGATTTATGGTGAATTAGTTTGTTACTCACCCCCTACATGACTAAGGCAGCACCATTGAGATGCGTGCCATATTTCTTTTTGTTATATTAGAGACATTAGGTTAATTCAGCTTGCATGTCTTTTTGTGGTTTTAACTATTAACTAATCTCGGGTCTGTAATGTAGTTGAGCCCTTATGGGTTCATTTACGAAGTGAGTTAGCTTTTTAGTTTTTTGATTATTTTAGTTTAGAGTTAAAAAATCTTGTTTGAGAAGGATTTTTTGACTTTTTGTGAGAAAAAGAATGTAATGATTATGAGTTGGATGTGATGGCTTGTCTTATTGGGTTAAAAAGTACATTTTGCCTTTTTGTAACTAAAATAGGCCCAAATCCAACCCAACTTATCTTTCCAAACAGAAGCTATATGTCACTTCATTTCATTAGGTTAATTCAGCTTTCATTTACTTCTGCATTTGAATCCTTATATGTCATTTCATTTCGTTTGGAAACGTTGTTATGCCTTTGGTGAAAGTGTGCCACTATAAAAGTTTCAGCTAAACTTAATTAAAATCTTGCCAATGTAACGAAAATTTTAAAAAAATTGAGGAACTAAGATAAAAATAAACATTTTTACCCATAAATTAATTTTACTAAAATAAGGGAACGTTTTCCAAGATAAATTAATTAGAATTGTGAATGATTGATGGGAATGATTTTGGAATTTGTTAGGTAAATATAGTGATTTTCAAATTAATATCATACGTAGATTAATTAGTTTTCGCCGAATTAATCAATTAGAAATTGGGGCATGACAGATTAGGTCAATGTCAATGGTTCAATGCAGTCCACCTCAATTTCCATGTTATTCTAACCTTTTTCAAAGATGATAGTGAGTCTTCTTTATATGGCTCATACTTCTACCTCCATGCTTGTTCCTTCCTCCACCTTCCTCGAGTATCCAAGGGTCGACATTCCTTCCCATCTTTGAATTGTCCACCATATCCGGCTCTACTTGAGTTAGCATCAGTATTTAATATAAATTTATATGCAAAAAGGACAATTCCATGTAATTAGTCTAGTAACTGAAAGACCAATGCTAGGTAGGTGGATCTGAATTGTAATCAATAGACAACAAAAATGCTATCATCCCAAAAAAATCATCCTTTTTTAAAGCATTGTGTTGGTGTGATAGAGATTAAATTAATTAAGTGTGGCTCTATATATGAAATGAATTTGAATCATAAATTGATATTTCTAAATAAAATTTGATGTAAAATATATGAGTTTATAATATTACTAATAGACATTGAGGGTCCAATGATTACAATTATGCTGTGGTACTTTCTTCTTCTATTTTTTTCATTATTTAAAATATGAAATTTTTATTTGGCTCAATATGTTGTAATACCTCTCGACGTAGTATATTTTCCAATCCTTATAGTGAAGGTTGTAAGTTCAAGCTCAAGATCCATGAAACATGTTGGGGGATAATTCCTTTTCTCTTTCTCTTAAATTTAAGTTGGACTAAATTCTAACGAGTGCTTAAAAAAAAAAACAAACAAACAAACAAACAAACGTTGTCAAACCATAACTTATCCATTATGCTAAATTTAGATCTTAAACTTCTTAAAAGAATAAGAAGACAAAAATAAACTTCAGTGTTTTTTTTATTTAATTTCTTCCAATTTTTTCCTCTTGCTGTCCACTAATACATAACTCAATCATAGTCTTAATAGTCCACACTAAAATGCAACTAAAATGTAGAGTCTTAGATTGATGAAATTAAAATTATGAAAGCTAAAATAAAGCTTCGTTAAAATTATAAGAATCAATGGTGTAATATTTTTTTAGTAAAAGGAGTGTTGGAATGCTGTCATATGTAGCAATAGATGAATGTTAATGATTTATTTATGTCTTGAAGGTGTAATATTTTTCTAAATAAAATTTGATGTAAAATATATGAGTTTATAATATTACTAATAGACATTGAGGGTCCAATGATTACAATTATGCTGTGGTACTTTCTTCTTCTATTTTTTTCATTATTTAAAATATGAAATTTTTATTTGGCTCAATATGTTGTAATACCTCTCGACGTAGTATATTTTCCAATCCTTATAGTGAAGGTTGTAAGTTCAAGCTCAAGATCCATGAAACATGTTGGGGGATAATTCCTTTTCTCTTTCTCTTAAATTTAAGTTGGACTAAATTCTAACGAGTACTTAAAAAAAAAAAAAAAAGGGTTGTCAAACCATAACTAATATCATTAATGGACAAATCCATTATGCTAAATTTAGATCTTAAACTTCTTAAAAGAATAAGAAGCCTAAAATAAACTTCAGTGTTTTATTTATTTAATTTCTTCCAATTTTTTCCTTTTGCTCTCCACTAATACATAATTCAATCATAGTCTTAATAGTCCACACTAAAATGCAACTAAAATGTAGAGTCTTAGATTGATGAAATTAAAATTATGAAAGTTAAAATAAAGCTTCGTTAAAATTACAGTTGTTCCAACAATCCAATTTTTAGTGAGGGTAGTCTTATCTACTATTCAAATATTGTATGTCCAATGTTTTAAAATTTAGAGAGTGAATAAGTGCTCCAATGGTAGAGGTGTTAAAAAAAAATTGATGGAACCGACAAACCGTTCCAATATGGTCCAAATCATCGATTTGGTCCTATTTTTCTAAGCTTCAATTCTATTTCTGATTTTGAAAATGGTTGAACCGTTTAATTGAGTTGGTTCTTGATTCTAAGGCTTTAGATATAGTTCTGAACCGAACCATGATATTATTTGTTTGTTATGTTTGCATGTAAAAATAAAAATATGTAAATCACTAATAAGATTTGAAGTGTTGATAATGAAGTCAACCGGCTCTAACTAACTTAAATAAATTAATTGTACTACTTTATTAGGGCAATTATAGAAAAATGGTAAAAATATAAAATAATTACAAACTAATGAAAGTACAACATTTACTTGCGTAATTGTAAAGCCTCGAAAATATTAACAACAGATTTCTTCATCAAACTCAACAGATATGCAGAAGTTTATTACTAATAAGTCCCTCAATCATTCAATAATAAAAACATTTCCTAGAACGATCTTCCATTCATTGATTCCTTAGAGATATTACGAAAGATGTCTCATGCATTAATACATCCATTAACTCTAGATCATGAATCTATAACATGTGACAGATAAACATAGAAATGAAAGGAAATAAATATCAGTTCATATCCTAATGGCTACATATTTTCAAGACGATACTTGGTTTCAACAAAAGTAGGTTGATGCCCAATACTTGTAGAAAATACATTTACAAACAAACATAGAACGAGCCTTCAACCCCATAGTCCTCCCAAACTAACTCATTAGTGGAGACATATTATCAGTACCTGAAAATTGATTTTCACATAGAATGAGATAAAGCCCAGTAGAGAGTAATTTAATGCTCTGTATGATTACTTAACAAATCCATATGGTGAATGCACATGATTGTCATTTGCCAAAACAATATACATTTTCTCTTTCAAACAGTGTAATGCCATGTTTATAATTTAATTGATTAATTGTTACTTCCAAAACATAAAACAGGGTAGTAGGCATACATAGTGGGAATCTCTGGGTACGTTTCTGCTAGTAGGCTATACAAGAACTACCAAAGCCATTTTACCGGTATTAACCAGAAGGATCAACACCTAACCACGTGGGTTTCTGGACTTTTACCATAGATACACAGGCTACCATAATGTAACAACCCTAACCTCTGATTTATGTTAATTCGTGGTTGAATAAGCTTAATCAGTAATTAAGAGAAATTCTGAATTAAATTGCATGTGTGTGTTGCCTTATTTGTGTTTATATCTGTTTTACATAAAAAAAAGACATGTTTATGTTTTTGTTACGGATTGCGAAATGAAGGCCTTATTGGCATCCAATTTAGAAATTGACTTGACTTATGTGATAATTAGGATTTTTAGAATTTTATGGTATGTTTAATTAAAATTTGGTTCGGAACGATTAAATTAAAATAATTAATGCCAATATGAATAGCTTAAGCCAATGTTAATTAATCACCACTAAGCAAGCCTATATAAGGCTTAAGATGATTAAGGAACATGACTCACACTCTCATTTTATCATCCTTGAGGCAACAAAACGTAGAGAGAGAAAGGGAAGAAGAGATTGAGCTCAACTAGGAGAATTCTTAGAAAAATCAAGCTTGAACCCTTTGAATTCACACCTTAGGTATGAACATTTCCCTTAAATCTTGGAAATAAGGTACATAGGAACTGAATTCTTGAGTCATGTAAGAATATTTCCATGAAATTGAGGAGAATAAGTTAGAATTATATCAATCATGGAAGAAATTAGCTAATTGTATACATTCATGTATAATTCATGGATTTTGAGTTTTGATTTCAACAAATTCTTACATGCAAGGGCCTATTTTTGTTAAATTATGGGAGCTCATTGTGGTTTTGCACCTTAACACTTCATTTGTACATGTTTGGGAAGATTTGAGTTCATGATAACACATGCATGATGTGTATTTATATAATTCAAGTTTGTTTTGAAGAATCCACTTGCTTTTGGGCCTTGATTTTGAGTAATGGTTCTTAATTCATGATGTTTTGCAAGTTTGCAGGAGTTTCCTTAAGTTTTTGGCCTAGGAAAACATAATTTACAGCTTTGGGGTCAAGTTTGAAGCTTGGAAGCAATTTTGGAAATTCCAGAATTCTGCTTCCACGCTCGAGCGACAAATCCTACGCTCTAGCAACCACCAGAAGTTTGCGTGTTTTGCAGACCACTCGAGTGACAAAAGTTGTGCTCGAGTGAGGGCATGAGTCTCATGCTCAAGCGAGCGTCGAGTGGAAAAATCAAGCAACCAGCATTTTTGCAAAGTTTACAGGCCGCTCGAGCGAAGGAATGTGCGTTCGAGCAACCATTCACATTTTGCATGTCTACTCGAGTGAATAAAGCTGCGCTCGAGCGAGACCCGTGTTTTCAACAATTTTTGTCAAGTGTTTTCAAGTGCATTTTAGCATCCTCATAGCATCCTCATTGCATCCTAGGCATTCCTAGGCCAAGATTCAGACATCACAATGAGGATAAGAAGTAGAAACAGACCAAGATAAGAAAGAATTAAGTTACTGTTTTCGTGTGTGTAATTCAGTACATGTTCGTTTTGTACCTGTGTAGGTCACGTACCACAAGATATCTGAATTGCCTACTCTATTCGTTTACTTGGAGCCATCTGTTATTTGTGAGTAATAAGTTTGTAAAGCTATATTCAATGTTAAATATTTTCTGAACATTATGATATGAAATGATCAATTCTCTGAAATGCTATGTTTTGTATGAATGAATGATTGTCCAAGTTTCTGAAATGTATTTGTGGCATCCTCAGCATCATGTGATATGTGTCCCTTTATGGGCCATTAGAATGCCCTTATGGCCGTCCCTCGATGGGTCATCAGAAACGTCTCCGTGCACATGAGTCATCGGAATGCTTTTGTAGCTATCTCTTTATGGGTCATCAGAAACGTCTCTGTGCACCTGAGTCATAGGAATGCCTTATGGCTTTCCCTTTATGGGTTATCGAAATGCCTTCACGGCCGTCCCCTCATGGGTCATCGGATTTGTTAACACTAATGGATGTGCCCGTATTATAATGTGTAATGTATGAACTTTGATTACAAATACGAACATGTATAAGAATTTGTTTCTGATTTGAAATCTGAATATGCATTAGACTCTGTTTCTGCATAGACATCATTCAGTAAACTCCTTACTCTGTTGTTATTCACTGGGCTTCTACTCACTATTTATATTATGTATGTAGGTGATCAGGCATGTGACTAGGCCCAGAGTTGATGGCCTAAGATTCTGTTTTGTTAGCCTGCCACTGTGCCTCCCGGGGAGGTTCATTTTGAGAAGACCATGTCAAGGCTTTCTTTTTGTTCTATTTATCTGTACTTGAGCTAAGTTCCCTTTCGACCTTATCTGCGCAAATGCGTGACGTGAGACCAATGTGTTTATGACATTACATGTATATATATAAGTTTGTTTGAAAATTTTGTCTCATTTATGTCAACACAGCTCAATGGACTATGTATGTTTTATATATTGCTTCCGCAGCCCCTAATTATATGTTTTTCTGTTAAGAGGTGTAGACACCCCATTTTTGACCGACCTTAAGACTCAAACGTCATCAATTGAGCACTCGGTGCTAGTGCATGTTGTGCTCGTTTCGAGCTTCAGAGTTTTGGCTGAGAGCCTTGCCTCCTGGTCTCCGAACTCTTTGTGCTTCGGTTCGGTTTGCAGACCAAAACCTTGTTTCTCTTCCCGGAGGGAGGGAGAGGTCTTGTAGACCATCTCTCTGTGGTCGTAGACTACTTTTCGTGGTCGTAGGCCACTTTTCCCGTGTGGAGACTAGTTTTCGATTTTTGGAGCCTTCGGTCGTGTGCTTTGTCTCGAGACCGCTTAACGTTCTCCGTTTGGCTTGGTTTTTGAAGCAGACCTTGCTTCCTCTCCCAAGAGGGGCACTGTGGTCCGAGAGACCACCTTTTGTGGTCGTGTACCACTTTTGGTGCTCAACAACTGGGTTTCAAGGCTCCCGGCTACGTGCTTTGCCTCCCGAACTCTTGTTTTGCATCCGTGTTGGTTTGTTTTTGGTACAAACCTTGTATCGAGAAGTGGCCCACGCCCTAGGGAACTCGAACCGGGCATCTCCTGACAAGGGTGCCCATGGCTGCCAAGAAATCTGCAGAAGGCAAGTGTATAAACGGATTAGATATCATAAATATGCAAGATGAATCAAAACTGAAAGCATAAAGAACTAAGAGTTCTTGATTACCTCTGTCGGCCGTACAGTGTCGAAGAACTGCCGGAGGTATAGCAGAGTCTCCCGAGGCCTCAGTCGGCACCGACCCTCAAATCTGCGAGAGAAGGGGATCTCCAGAGGTACCTCAACCTCGAGCTCAGAAGCCAGCATCGGGAAGTAGGTGTAAATCCATAGCTGTGAAAGACAAGACAGTAGCTGTTAGTATACAGAATGTATAAGGGAGTACAGAATGCTAAGTGCAAAATGTAGAATACCGAAAGTAATGTGTGCCATGTGCAGTGTACAGGTAATGAAAAGCAGAAATGTAAATCAAAGAGGGCAGAACATACCTCCCAGACTCGCCAGTAGCCACTTACTATGTTCCCCTGCCCGCGGGAGGTCGCGCTTATGTAGCAATAAAGGGTAGCGAGGCCAGCACCACCCCAATCATACTGACTGACCTGTGATAAGTCTACCAAAGCACTGAGCAGATAAAGTCCAACTGTGTTTCCCCTGTCGAAAAATAGAGTGGTCCCGAGGAGGAACATCAAAAATCCCCAAACATACTGCTGTATGGCCTCGATGGTCTTGGGCAAAGTCCTCCTGAACCAGAACCAGGTGTACCTGACCCTACCTGATGATCTGTTGATCGGCGGGCGGGCTCCCAGCAGATAAATCCAAGCGGCCTCCCACTCGCCCATATCTGCATCATAGGGGATCGGTCGGCCTGCCACGTCAAGGGCCGTCAGCATGGAGAAATCATATGGGGTCATCGTCATGTCCCCAGTAACTGAAAAATGGAACGAGTTGGTGGTGTTCCACCATCTCTCCAAAAGTGCCCCCATTAGAGTCCTACTCGCCGGATGACGCGATAAGCCCGCACAGAAAGGTCCAAATCCTGCCTCATCCACGATATGGCGAACAGCATCTGGGAGCTCCATATACCACTCCCTAGCAATAATCGATCCATAACCCCATGTGGAATAGGAAGATACGTGCATTCAGAATGAACAGATGTATTCAGTTTCAGAACAGAAATGTGTGAGCCGCGTGTTCAAAGTGGAATGTAAGAGCTGCGTGCAAACGAAGTGAATGAGCTTTGTGTTCAGAAATGAAAATGTATGGGCTGCGTGTTCAGAGTTGAAACGTGTGAGCCTCGTGTTCAAAGTGGAATGTAAGAGCTGCGTGCAAACGAAGTGAATGAGCTGTGTGTTCAGAAATGAAAATGTGTGGGCTGCGTGTTCAGAGTCGAAGTGTGTGAGCTGCGTGTTCAGAATGAAATGTATGAGCTGTGTGTTCAGAAATGAAAATGAGTTGTGCGCTTGAAAATGAGATGTGTGCCCGAAAAGTGAGTGTGTGCCTGCGTGCCCAAGAATGAGCTGTGTGCCCTAAGAATGAGCTGTGTGCCCAAAAACGAGCTGTGTGCCTGAAAATGAGCTACGTGCAAATGAAGTGAATGAGCTGTGTGTTCAGAAATGAAAATGAGTTGTGTGCTTGAAAATGAGATGTGTGCCCGAAAAGTGAGCTGCGTGCCTGAAAACGAGCCGCGTGCCCAAGAACGAGATGTGTGCCCCAAGAACGAGCTGTGTGCCCAAAAATGAGCTATGTGCTCAAAAATGAGCTGCGTGCAAATGAAGTGAATGAGCTGTGTGTTCAAAAATGAAAATGAGCTGTGTGCCTAAAAATGAGCTGTGTGCCCGAAAAGCGAGCTGTGTGCCCCAAAATGAGCTGTGTGTTCAGAAATGAAAATGAGTTGCGTGCTTGGAAATGAGCTGTGTGCCTGGAAATGAGCTGTGTGCCTGAAAAGCGAGTTGTGTGCCTGAAAATGAGCTGCGTTGCCTGAGAATGAGTTGCGTGCCCAAGAATGAGCTGTGTGCTCGAAAATTAGCTGTGTACCCGAAAAGAATGAGCTGTGTGCCCGAGAATGACCTGTGCGCCAGAGAATGAGCTGTGTGCCCCAAGAACGAGTTGTGTGCCCAAAAATGTGCTGTGTGCCCGAAACGAACTGTGTGGTCAGAATGAATCGTGTGTTCAGAGTGAGCTGTGTGCCAAATTAACAGAACATTGTGGTGAACTGTGTGCCAAGTCAGCATCATATCCTAAATGAGCTGCGTGCCAAATCAGTATTGTGCTCTGTGCAAGCCATATGCCAGAATAAGCAGAAGTACTGTGCATATAAATGTGTTCAAAACCAGCATAGCGAAAACATAAAATGTGCAGGAAATGCAAAATACATTGCAGACAATATATAAGTGAAGTATGTATCTCTCGCGCCTGGTGAGATGGGTGAGACTCTGGCTCCCGTAGCAGTAGGTCCACGGGTGCTCGCCGTGCGAAGTCGATAAAGTGATAGAAGGTGCTAGGAGGAAGAATGTACTCCCTCGGAGGGTATGCTGTAGGATCAAACGGTCGTATCCTCGGAGGCAATGACATAATGTCTGGCTCGTCCTCGGCATGTAGAGAACCTCTGTCGTGATGAAAGTGACCCGCCATCCGAAGAAATCTGAAAAAATGAGCAAGAATGAGGAAAATGAGCCAAAATTGCAAAAAGTCAACAAAAGCCAACTCTCGAGAAGAGAAAAAGTCAACAAAAGTCAACGCCCAAGAAAAATTGCCAAACTTCGAAACAAACATACCTTAAGTGGTGAAAATGGAGAAAGAAGCACCGAAATCAAATTTTAATCGGTTCAAAACGAAAAGAATCGAACGTTTTTGCGAAACAACTTCGCGTGGGGCGTTGGAAAACACGTATAAAGTGCAGATCTGAGAGAGAAAACGGTCTAGGAAGGAAGAGGGATGTATTTCGGCCTTAGAGATGTGAGCAAGAGTGATTTGGATGTGTGAACTTAACGGGCCGAACCTTAAAAGAAAAAACTGCCCTGAATTATGTAAACTGGTCGACTGACCAGTTTTTCTGGATGGCCTACCACTTGGTGGTCAACAACTGGTCAGCGGCTGTTCTAGGTGGTCGGTGGCCTTCATGGGTGGTCTCCAAAGTCCTTTTGTTCTCCCTGTGTATTTTGGTGATGATTGGAGTCCTCGGCTCTCGAGAAAGTACAAGAAAAGTACACTTTTCTGCGCGAAATTGTCTCCGCGGGAACTTCAAATTCGAATCTTCGATGCGTGGAATACGGTGTAACCCCTCCGAGAGGTAAATCGGAGGTCACGGTTGAATTGCTCTCTTTAAGGCATGAACTTCTTTACTCGTCATTTTGTTCCAAACATGCTATTGAAGTTGCATTTTTCTTGCATTGTTATGCACACCTTGTTTGTGTTGTTGCGCATGTTTCCTACATTGTTATGCACTGTCTTTACTTGTGTGATCTCTACTTGTGTTGTTACGCATGTTACTCGCATTGTTATGCGCGTCTGCCTTGCATCGTTGCGCACGTTACTTGCATTGTCATGCACTCCTCCACTTGCGTTGTCACACGCTTTTCACTTGCCTTGCTATGCATGTATCTAACGATATTGTACCTGCTGAGTTTCATCTTTTTGCAGACACGATATTGTATGTACGGTTCATTTGAAGCTGGCACGACCATACGAGCCGGATGGTATTGTATTCTCCGCGTGCGTAGCAAGAATTGTATAATTCTCTCATATTCTTTCTGCATGAAATGTAGTTTGATTTGTATTCGTTCGCTTAAAACTGTCGCATTTATTGTGTATAATTGCTTTGTTACAGCTTTCTTTGCATGATCATAAGTTATGTTCGGCCTCGTGCATGTCTTTTGCATTTTGCCCCTGCCTGCAGGCACGTCTCTGTGTTGTCTCACTTGTTTGTCTAAGTCTTCGGCCTTGTAAAAAATGAGTCGTCTCTGGGCTTTGACATTCACTCCCGTCACTTATGACTCTCGAGTTTTGTCAAAGAGGGACAACTGTAGACAACCCGTTTTTGATCGACCTTAAGACTCAAACGTCATCAATTGAGCACTCGGTGATAGTGCATGTTGTGCTCATTTCGAGCTTCGGAGTTTTGGCTGAGAGCCTTGCCTCCGGGTCTCCGAACTCTTTGTGCTTCGGCTCAGTTTGCAGACCAAAGCCTTGTTTCCCTTCCCAGAGGGATGGAGAGGTCTTGTAGACCATCTCTCTGTGGTCGTAGGCAACTTTTCCCATGTGAAGACTAGTTTCTGATTTTTGGAGCCCTCGGTCGTGTGCTTTGTCTTGGGACCGCTTAACGTTCTCTGTTTGGCTTGGTTTTTGAACCACACCTTGCTTCCTCTCCCTGGAGGGACACTGTGGTCCGAGAGACCACTTTTTGTGGTCATGTACCACTTTTGGTGCTCAACAGCTGGGTTTCGAGGCTCTCGGCTGTGCGCTTTGCCTCCCGAACTCTTGTTTTGCATCCGTGTTAGTTTGTTTTTGGTACAAACCTTGTTTTCCTTGCCTGGAAGGTGGTACGAGGATGGAAGTCCAATTTTTCCCCTTGGAGACCACTTTTCTTCCCGCCGCTGGTTTTCTGGTCAGGAAACTGGTCGGCCGACCACTGCAAGTAGCAGGCCAACCACTTTAAGTGGTCGGCAGCTCTCCCCTTGTTTTGGCAGACTGTGTGGATGCCAGCTGTGCTAGCTGGAGGGCACAGACTGTATCCTCCATACACGTGTATGGAGGGATTGCATCCATGTTTTAGCTTCTCCAAGAAGCTTGAACCTTTGTTTTTCTATAAGAGAGGCTCTCTCTCTCCATGGGAGAGGTTCTGAAATTTTCCTAAGGCATAAGCATATATCTCTTTTTATATCTCTATATTTGGTGCCTAAAGAGTGTGTTGTTCTTCACTTTTGCACCACAACCCTTAACCATACACCCTCATCATTGAACTGAGGTTCTTGGAGGACATTTTTGGAGGTTAAAAAGCTGATTCTTGGTTGAGAAATCTACTGGTTTTACAGTGCTTCAAGGGTAACCTCTTTTCTCCCTTTTAAGCTTTATTTTGGTTGCTCTCTTGGTCTCATTTGCATGCTTATTTAGGCCTTGCTTTCAACTGAGAAAAGTTTTGTATTTAAGTGTTTTTGATGTTTGTTTAAGGCCTCTTGGGTGTTGAGGGTCTTCTACCCTCTTGCATGCCTTGTTTGGCCTTGTTTTGTGCCATGGTTTAAGGCCTTCGAGCTAGTATTTGCTTGGCCTTCTAGCCACTGAAATCCAGTGGATTTTCAGTGGTAGGCATGTCGTTTTGAGGCCATCAGAGGGGGGTGATCCCCTCTCTTCTTGTTTTGTTTGCTTGCATTTTTGGCCTATCAAAGGAGCATGCATCTTCATACTTTTAAGGCTTGGTCCAGGCATGACTTTTAGGGCCTGCCTTAGCTCTGTCTATGGTTGGTTTGGCCACCTTGTGTTTGCTTCTTCTATGTGTGGTGTATTCCCATTTGTGGCTCATCAAAGTGGCATGTCTTTCTAGCATGTATTGGCTTCATTTCAGTAGATTTTTGGCATCATTTGGCATGTCATGACTCTGTTTTTGGCCGGTTTGGTAGCCTCTTGCATGCTCCATATGCTTGTAGTGTAAATCTTGTTGACTAGCTTTGTATGCATGATGTTCTGGCTCATTATCCTAGCATATTTTGGCTGTGTTCTAGCATGATTTTGTTCTTATTTTGGGTTGTCTTAGCTCTGTTTTGAGGCTTTTTGGTCGATTGAGGCTTGTCATGCATGCTTGTAGTGTAATAGCCTTGACTAGCTATGAGTTTTGAGGTCTTTTGCATGCTTAGCTTGAGGAATTCGCATGTTTTGGCATCATTGAGAATGATATTTCAGAGCATGTAGGGCTATTACACTTCCATATTTTCCACTCTTTAAGTGCTCTTGAGGGTTGTGTTTTTGTGCCCTGTTTGCGAGCCATTGCATGAGCCTCATTTTTGTGCCTTTCAAGCCATCATCCCAACTCATTTTTGCTACTTTTTTGGCCTGCATAGGGTCTGTTTGAGGTTGGTTTGGCCATTTG